GCGCGCTGTTGTCGGCGCGCTTTTGACATCGCGGTTTTAGCACCGCGGTTTTGTCGGCGCGCTTATGACGTTCGCGCTTTTGTCGGGTCACGAAGTTAACAACCTACAGTTACTATCAATGCATTGTATCACAAACTTCTTAAAAAGACAAGATATTTAAAAGAAACGAAAATAAAAGTAGAAACTTAAAACGCTCTCTACTCGTGTTAGTAGAGATAGATCTGACATTTAATTCTGTGATTGAGTTTTTATTATCCATTTTACTTTTGTTATAAAATATTTGCATTACATTACGCGACACAGTACTTTCTAGATCAGTGTTTCTCAACCTTGGCGACTTTAAGTCCTGTGGACTTCAACTCCCAGAATTCCCCAGCCAGCACATCTGTGCTGGCTGGGGGATTCTGGGAGTTGAAGTCCACAGGACTTAAAGTCGCCAAGGTTGAGAAACACTGTTCAAGATTAAGCAGTCTTATTTCAAGCCTTTGGAATGTTCTGTGTGTCATAATGAGTACTCATTTCCTCAATTGTGAAACAAAATTCTGCCAGTTCCATAAAAGAACAGTTCCCCAACTTCCTTGTTTAAAATATTTTAATTTTTAGGGCTTTTATTAGGCAGGATGGGGATCGGATTTTAACTTTTATCAAATTATTTTTCAAGAAAGATTATATACATCTGTTGTTAATTTTTGTGGTAATTATTTCTGATGGGATCTGGAGTAAAACATTTTCCTACCTAAGTCTTTTGGGAGTGTCTTGTCCTGGAAAACACTATATTTTTCAGGAAAAAATGGAAGGAAGGAGAGAAAAAAAGAAAGAGAAAGACATGGTAAACTGAAACAATTGCCTGGAAAAAACTGTGGCTTTTGATTATAATATACAACATATTTCACGGAAAAAGCATAAGTACAGGTCCTCAACTTACAATAATTCATTTAGTGACCATTCAAAGTTACAACGGCATTGAAAAAAAAGTGGCGTCCATTTTTCACACAACTGTTTAGCATCCTCTTGGTCACATGATCAAAATCCAGAAGCTTGGCAACTGGTTCATATTTATGACAGTTGCAGTGTCCAGGAGTCGTGTGATCCACCTTGTGACCTGCAAAATCAATGGGGAAGCCAGATTCACTTAACAACCTGTTACTAACTTAGCTGCAATGATTCACAACTGTGGCAAGTGAATCAACTGGCAAAATGGGGGGGAAATTCACTTAACATTTCATTTAGCAACATACACTTTGGGTTCAATTGTGGTCGTAAGTTGAGAACTAGCTGTAGGAATACTGATTTTAAAAAAAGGAAAGCCAAAACTAGCCTTCACCTATTTTATTTTGCTCCACTTTAGCAGTTTTAAATGTGAAAGCCTTGCTGTTACTTCACTGTTGCTCAAAATATAGGTTTGGGTTTCCTAATTCTCTCACCACTATGTTCACACAAGATAAGATGGAAATCCTCAGAGAAGTAGGTTATAAGAATTGATAAGGGAATTCTACTTTGGAAGTACTATGGTAAATTTTAATATTTTATCTATACCTTTGCTTGTAATGAGAAAAAAAAAGATCATTGAGAACAGTCGAGAAGAAAATCAACTGCCATTCTTTCACTCTTTGTGATTTTATAAATGTTTATAGAAGTTTTGACTAATGAATTTTTTTTTTAAATCACTAACATTGACTTAAAGATGGTGGTTCTTTAGTATGGCTAATATATTTTTCCTCAATATTAATAATCAACATGTCTACTTGAAATAGACAAAGCATTGAATACAGAATTACAGAATTATATATCTTTTTTCTATCATAGAAAACATTTGCCATTTGCATTAAATAATTTCAATTACCGATGTGCAGTTAGTTCTTGCTTATTATTTTGTGTTTTCATTTGGGCAAAGGAGAAGACTACACCAACAATGGCAAACATTTATCCTTGAGAAAGGCAAGTATTAATTAGATTGAGTTGGCTAATGCCATCGTTTTCGCAGAAGATGGTAGATGACCAATGTGTTTTGGAAAAGCAGACTTGATCTCAGATGACAGCACATACTTCTAATTAATACAATTCTGAAATACTGTCAGCCAGTCTGGTGGTGATGATGCCAAGCCCTAAAACTTGGAAGAAATTTGAAAGGAACTGAGCAAAGATGATCCCTGTGTTTCTAGACGTTAGAGCAAGGAATTTGAAAGGAATCAAATACATTTGCTTTGATGCTACCAACAGTTCTAATCCTTTGTCAAATAGTCTGTCTTGAATTCTTTGGACCCCTGGACATTTAATAGTTTATTTTGTAATCATGCCCAGTTCTCACTTCTAAGATTGGCCTCTCTGATTCACTACAGTTTTAACTTTATATCATTATCTTGCTAAAATTCACACTCTAACACACTCTAACGAAATAATGTTGGAACAGCTTTATTGAAAAAGTCATTCTTAGGTCTTTGGTTTCCTAGCCTTGATCAAAATACAGATAGTCCTCGTTTACTGAAAAGGAGACATATGTGCCAGTCCTCAAAATTGCAGGTGTTGTAGTGATCCAGTGGTGGGTTTCAAAAATTGTTGGAACCTACTCTGTGGGTGTGGCCTCCTTTGTGGGAGTGGCTTGCCACCCATGTGACCGAATGGGAGTGGCTTGCCACCCATGTGACCAGATGTGAAATTATGAATTAGTACTTAGGTCGGTCCAAGTAGCTATTCAGAAACTCTGGCATTGAAGCATGCAAGTCTTAAAGCTGTCAAGTTACAAGATCCTTGCCAGTGGTGGGTTTCAAAAATTTTTGGAACCTCATCTGTAGGTGTGGCCTGCTTTCCAGGTCCACTGGTGGAACCTCTTCTAACCGGTTCGGTAGATTTGACGAACCGGTTTCTACCGAATAGGTGCGAACTGGTAGGAACCCACCTCTGTAGTGATCCTCCAATCATGTGATTACAATTTAGGTGCTTGGCAATTGGTGCATAGAAAGGCGGAATATATGTGAGCCAGGATAATGTTGCAGGAACTTCTTTGAACTGTTCTCTCTGCCACTGAGAACATTACATCCCCCCATAGTTAACCCTGTGTAACTATTGAGTACCAAGGAATTTTGATTGCCTTGAATACCATGAATGTTGGCTATTATTTAAAATATTACTGGTAGTATATTATTTTGGGCTTACCAAAAACCTTCCAGTAGGCTGAGAAGGCCCATTTTTTTGCCCTCCCTAGGCTCCGGAGGCTTTCCTAGAGTCTCCAGGAGGGTGAAAACCACTTCCCCCAGCCAGAAACAGACCATCTTTCGTCCTCCCCTAGCCCCTGCACGAGCCCTGTACTTATCTGGCATCCGCACAGAGACACCTGGGAGGGGTACAGTGGCGTGGGTAGGGCCACCCGAAAATCAGCTGCCAGCAGGAGATGCATGCACATGCGTGGTGGTGGTGGTGACCTAGCATTGATGTTCTGAACAGAATTGTTTCTGAAGGTGTGCACGGCTCTTAACAGGCAATATCTCACAACATTGGTTGCCAATTTGTCAATGTCCAACTGAATATAGAGACAGCCTGAGCAGTTAGCTCTGTTGCTCCTAAACTTCCTCTTTACTCTCTCAATGCCAAATCAGGCTGCTGGTTTCCAAGGAAAAGAGAGTGATAATGGATGTCAACTGGAATATAAGAAGATTTGGAAGGATGTTATGATATAGCGATGCCCACTTGAACTCTGATGCAGGGATTCATCCTATGCAACCAAGATGCTGGAGGGAGGGAGTTAAAACGTAACCCTGAGAGGCTCATGGTGAAAATTTTCATTCTTTTCAAACCAATCAATTGGATCCATTCTGACTGCACTCCAGCTACCTGGCCCGTATCTATAGGTTGCTTAGCTACAGGTAAGATTTTATTGCGGTGGATTTCTGAATTGACATGTCGGTATTTAAATCATGCTTTTGGTTCTAGATCAGGAGTGTCAAACTCACTCATGTCCACCCCTGGTTAAGCAAAGGGGAAAGAAGTCACGGTATGTCAAGTCATGACGTGAGGCCGCGGGTTTGATACCCCTGGTCTAGATCAAATGGCTCTCTCGATGTAACTTACTTCATAGTGGTATTAATGGGATAAAATTGAGGGAAGATGGATTTAGCAGCCTCCATATATTTCACTCTAAATGTGTGAAGAAAAAAGAATATGACACAAATGCAAATCTTAATAATAGTTACCATATCCGTTTTGGAAAAGGGAGGAGGGCATGGTGCATGGGAATTGTGTTTAATTTAGGCTTATGGGTGCTCTCCTAGCGTTCCCAACAAAGCAGAAAAATATTAGGACAAAAATAAACAAATGGCAGCCTTTCTATGCTGTTTAAGTAATAATGGGCTGTTTTGATGTATATCCACATTACTTCCCATAATTGTGGTGGAAAGAGAGACCACACATATATTCTTCTTTGGAGAGCTTTAATGTGCTCCACTCCATGAAACGTCAAGACTATACAATGGACTCAAGTCCTAGAAGACACAAACAAATCTTCAGTGGTGTCCCTTATTTTTTTCGGGGGGGAAAAATGTATATTCAACTGCAAGTGCCACGACAAAGGCGGCAAACCCCCATTTGAATCCCTTGGTGAGTGCGTCCATGAAAGTGGCTGGTTTTGCAAAGCCTCCTGAGAATCTCCATGCTTCATTGCTAGAGGAAAAAAGATATAAGATGAAAAATTACACAATTTTGCAACCTTTTAACCCATAGTTTAACTTGCATATAATATTTTCAATACAGAATTAAGTATACCTAAAAATTGAGTAAATTATTGGAATTTGATATACCATTCTTCTTCTCTAGATTCACCATCACTTAGCCAAAAGGCCTCTCCTGGCATTTATTGTTTCCTGGGAAAACATGGGATGGAGTATGTGCTGACAGATGAGAGAGAGACAAATAGCCTTCCTTCTTAGAATAAAGTATATTCAAAGAAATATACTGTGTGTTTCTATTTTTGCTCTAAGAACGATTACTTATTTATTTATTTAATTTATATTCCATCTTTATTATTTTTCTACATAACTCAAAGCATAAACATACTTAATATTCCCTCCTCCTATTTTCCTCCCAATAACAACCTTGTGAGGCAAGCTGGGCTGAAAGAGTGTGACTGGCCCAAAGTCATTTAGCCAATTTTTTATGTCTAAAGCAGGACTAGAACTCACCATCTCCCAGTTTCTAGTCTGATGTCTTCATCACTTTACCCACATGTTCTCTAATACCTGATGCTACTATTTATAGCTTGGGGCCTCTAATCAGAATCCTCATAGCTATATTCACAAGCCTTCATATAATTTTCCATTACTTCTTGCTGTAATCTCCAATCCACTTAATAGAGCTGTTTAACGAGGCAGCTACAAAAAAAATGTTTTGAACCTACAATGATTATCTTGCAATTTACACCTTTACTAGATATTCACTCCAAATGTTTTCAGTTCAAAATTAATCTTTACAGAACCTAACAGAGTTGCATAAGAAATGGGATTTATGAAATCAGGTGACAACTAAAATTCTTATGTTCCAACCACTATCACTTTCTTTCAAATGAGTACTTCATTAATTATGAAAGCCATACAGGCAGTACACGAGTTATAATCATTTGTTTAGTCACTGTTCCAAGTTACAGCGGCACTGAAGAAAATGACTTGTAACTGGTTCTCACACATACGACCATTGCAGCTTCCCCATGGTCATGTGATCAAAATTTGGGCGCTGGTAACTGGCATTTGTTTAACAACCATGGTAAATAAGGCCATAAATATTGGGCATGACTCACTTAACAATCCTTTTGCTGGAAATTCTGGTTCCAATTGTGGTTGTAGGTTGTGGACTATCTGTCCTGTTCTATAAGTTCATGTGTATAGATAAAAGTATCTACATTCAAAAGCAAATGGTTTTGAAGAGCACGTGGTGTCATCTGCACTTGGGTTGCATTTATAAAGATAACAATGAAAAAAAATTGTGAAAAATAAAGTTCCAATTTAAAAAATCTAATATTAGTGTTAACGAGTACAAAAACTTGCAAAATAATGTGCAGGATATATGTCAGAAAACCATTTATAAGATAATATATTTTCAAGCAGAGCCTTAGCAAAAGAAAATTTATGTTGGATTCAAATTGGATATTGTTCAAAGTATGCGCAAAGTATAATTTTAAAGAAACTTTTTAAATTTAAGGATGTGAATTTTCTGAAGAACTGATTAGACCATATAAGGAAATCTAGTTCTCTTATGCAATGTCCTCACAAATCTTAATTATCAGCTTTTATATTTCTATTCTAAAATTTCAGAGTCAATCTACTTTATATTTCCAAATATTGGGCAAAACAATGCTTGGAAAACAAAGTACTTAATGACTTATCTAGAATGGGAACTTTATTTTTGTTTTGTTTCATAAAAATGTGTTTTGCGATTGACGAACAAATGAAGGATTACATATATGCCAACTCTTACCGAAGCCATGGGTCCTTGAGACCAAATTTAGCCAACCTTTCCTGGACGTTTTGCAAGGGGGTCCCTTCTATTTTCCATTGCCTGTAATCAGGAAGCTCACCACCGTTCCCGTGACCATGGCCCATAATCCTGAGAAAAGATTTGTAAAAGTAAAACTCACAAAACGTGCAGTGCATGTTCATTTGGAGTATTGCAAAATCAATATTGTGGAGTCCTTCATGCTCTTTCAGCTTAGTTGTTTCTTGCAAGTCATTCATTACCCAACTAGGTAAGTTGGGTAATGAGTGCAAGTGAATGTGAGGTTTGCTCCGTTTATCCCGTGTTTTCCCGAAAATAAGACAGGATCTTATTTTCTTTTGACCCCTGAAATAAGCACTTGGCCTTATTTTTTGGGAGGTCTTTCTTTTTTAAGGTGCAGGAAGCAGTGAGCGTGGTCACCTCATGGCTACTGATGTGTTGCAATATTTTCAGGGAGGGCTTGTTTTCGTGGGAGGCTTATTTTAGCGCATGCGCTCAAAACCCCGATTGGGATTATTATCTGGGGAGGTCTTATTTTCGGGGAAACAGGGTAGCAGCTTGCCCTTCCGGTGTTGGCAGGGATATGCTTTTCACCTTCATAGTCCCTTGATTAGGTTACTCTTTACTGCTTGAATGTTTGTCTGGTGTTTTGTCCCTGTTTATCTGGATGCTGGCTATGGGGGAGAAAATGTCTGGTCTTTTTGTTCTCTCTTTTGAATAGTGTGTTAACATGGTTTATTTCTATGTGTCTGGTTTTCCCCCCCCCCCCTTTTTTTTCAGGTTCAAAAGTTTTATTTCTTTTAAAACAAACATTTCATCATTCCTCAATCAGTAAGACATCGAAGTACAATTTTTTGTGTGTCAAAATAGTTCTAGTTTACCACCAAATTCTTGTCTAGCCTAATGTATACCCCTCCCTCCCTCTGTCAGCGAAAACGGGCTCCTGAGCTCCGTTTCCGGCTGCGACCGCCTCCTGCAGCCCTCTGCCAGCAAAAAAGGAGCTCGGGAGGGCCGTACACAGCTTCTCCCGGGCCCCGTTTTCGCTAGCAGAGCAGCGCGGGCTGGTCCGCTGTTTCCTGGGTGGCTCTGTGGGCCAGATCTAAGCATCCCGCGGGCCAGATCTGGCCC